TGTGTGTGTGTGTGTGTGTGTGTGTGTGTGTGTGTGTGTGTGTCTGTATGTGCCTGTGTGTGTATGTGTCTGTGTCTGTGTGTGTGTATGTGTGTGTGTCTGTATCTATGTCTGTCTCTTTATCTTTCGTGTGTGTGTGTCTGTATCTGTGTGTGTGTATGTCTGTGTATGTCCGTGTATGTCTGTGTATGTCTGTGTATGTGCATGTATGTCTGCGTATGTCTGTGTGTGCATGTCTGTGTATGTGTGTGTATGTTTGTGTATGTCCGTGTATGTCTGTGTATATCCGTCTATGTCTGTGTATATCCGTCTATGTCTTGGTATCTGTCTGTGTCTGTGTCTGTGTCTGAAGGTGTCTACGTATGTCTGTGTCCATGTCTGTGTGTTTGTCTCTGTGTCAGTCTGTGTCTCCGTATGTCTGTGTCTGTGTCTCTGTGTCTGTTTGTTTCTCCGTATGTCTGTGTCCGTGTCTGTCTGTGTCCGTGTCTGTCTGTGTCTGTGTCTGTCTCTCTGTCTGGTTGTGTCTCTGTATGTCTGTGTCCGTGTCCGTGTCTGTGTCTGTATCTGTCTGTGTCCGTGTCTCCGTATGTCTGTGCCCGTGTCTGTCTATGTCTGTTTGTGTATGTTTGTGTACCATTTGTGTGTGTATGTCTGTGTATGTCTGTGTGTGCATGTCTGTGTATGTCTGTGTATGTTTGTGTATGTCTGTGTATGTCTGTTTATGTCTGTGTATGTTTGTGTATGTCTGTGWATGTCTGTGTCTGTGTATGTCTGTGTGTGTATGTCTGTGTATGTCTGTGTGTGTATGTATGTGTGTGTATGTGTGTGTATGTCTGTGTGTGTCTGTGTATGTCTGCGTATGTCTGCGTGTGTATGTCTCTGTGTGTATGTCTGTGTATGTCTATGTATGTTTGCGTATGTCTGTGTATGTTTGTGTATGTCCGTGTATGTCTGTGTATATCTGTCGATGTCTGTGTATATCCGTCTATGTCTGTGTATTCGTCTGTGTCTGTGAATGTGTCTGTAGGTGTCTCCGTATGTCTGTGTCCGTGTCTGTGTATGTCTGTGTATGTCTTTGTGTGTATCCGTCTATGTCTGTGTATCCGTCTGTGTCTGTGTCTGTGTCACCATCTGTCTCCGTATGTCTGTGTCCGTGTCTGTCTCTGTTTTTGTCTCTGTGTCTGTCTGTGTCTCCGTATGTCTATGTCCGTGTCTGTCTGTGTCTGTGTCTGTCTGTGTCTGTGTCTGTCTGTGTGTCCGTATGTCTGTTTGTCCGCGTCTGTCGGTGTATCCGTGTGCGTCTCTGTCCGCATACGAGGGTTGCCTACTGGGTGCCATAATTTCTTCGATTCAATGACATCGAAACGAATCCGGCACGCAGTAGTCAACTTGGACATGTCCGTGTGTGTGTGTGTGTGTGTGTGTGTGTGTCTGTTTGTGTGTCCGTGTCTTTGTCAGTGTCCCTCTCTGTGTCTGTGTGTGTCTGTGTCCATGTCTGTCTGTCTCTGTGTGTCTGTGTCTCCTGCGTACGTCTGTGTCCTGGGAGTGCATGTCTGTGTATATCTGTGTATGTGTATGTCCGTATGTCCGTGTCTGTGTATGTCCGTGTGTCCGCCTGTGTCAAACGGACACACGGACATACACAGACATGTCCGGACATACATGGACATACACAGACGTACACTGATATACACAGACATACGCAGACAGGAACAGACACAGACAGGGGGACACGGACACACAGACACAGTTAGACATGCAGGAAAGACACACACAGACGCACACAGACACAGACACGGAGACAGTCAGGAAGTGTGTTTGTGTATGTCCGTGTGCCTCGACATGCCCGTGTGTCACATTAAGTCACGAAATGTCACAAAGACGGGAAGTATGATAGTCACTTCCCTTCACCACCGCAGACGTCAAGAGTATGCATGTTGTAGTCATAAAACAAAAACAAACAGAGGGAGAGCATAACATGGGATATAGGACGAAGAGAGTGCACATGTTGTAGGGAGAAGAAAACAAACAGAGGGAGAGCAGACTTGAGTTTCAAGGTACACAGGCAACCATACCTTTGTCGACGAATGCAACGGCGTACACTGTAGATTGAATGCTTCAGAAGATGCAGATTTTGGTTTGATAATTCTGCTTCGGTGGTTCAACCGTGCAGCGCATATGACAGCACAAACAGACACAAGATTAGTGAACAATGTGTCATACACACGCCCACATACTAAACGACAGACACATACTCTCGGTCATTGATATGTTATGCACATAAT